TAAGAGAGACACTGCATTAAAGAACTTTAAAGCTGATCGGTATTCATTCAGTCAAATATTTATTGACTTAATAAATATTGTCAAATATTTATTGACTTAATAAATATGTACTGAAGGCCTATTTTACGCCAAGAGCCAAATGAACAGTACCAATCAAAATAGAAGAACTGCTCCTTCATGGTACATACAGTTTAGAAGACAAACAATCAAAGAATTAGACAAAATATAATTACAAACTGGGAAGTGTCACGAAGGAAAAGCGCATGAAGCTTGTGAAGACAGCATCCAAAGGGGGACTTACTAGGAACCGTGAGATGATCAGAGATGGCTTCCCTGGGGAAGTGACATTTAAACTAAGAGCTAAGAATGAACATGCACTGACTAAATGAGTGGATGGCTAGGGAAGACCATTAAGGCAATGGGAATAGAATATAGAAGCCCTGAGATTGGACAGAACAAGGTACAGTACAGAACTAAAGAAACCAGTACACCTAGAGTGTGAGCCCAGATGAGAATGTGGGACATGAGGCTGGAGAAGTAGGCAGGCTATACATCATACGTGGTCTTTAAGAATGCTCGTGCAAATGGAATTCTATGCAGCAGAGAGAAATAAGGAGCTACTACCCTTTGCAACAACATGGATGGAACTGGAAAGCATTATGCTGAGTGAAATAGGCCAGGCATTGAAGGAGAAATACCATATGATCTCACCTTTAACAGGAAGCTAAACAACAAAACAAACAAGCAAACAGAATAAAAACAAAGACACTGAAATAGAGAACAAGTGGGCAGTGACCAGAGGGGAGAGGGAAGGGAATTTAAGGGGAGAAACGAGGAGGGATTTTGAAGAACAAGTATGAAAGACACAGGGATGAGGTCTTTGGGGAGGGAGGGGATGGGAGGGAGGTGGGGACACGGGGCGGAGGGGGGGTTGGGATGGGAGAAATTGACAAAAGAAAACTGTACTTGAAAAATAACTCAATAAATTTAAAAAAAAATCAGAAAATCAGAAAAGACCAGAAAAAAAAAAAAAAAGAATGCTCGTGCACTTGGAGTTTGTCCCAGGAGCAAAGAGAAGCCAGTCAAAGTTTTTGATCTAAGAAGTGATTAAATAAGAATTACATTTTAAAACTGTCTATTCTCAGGTGTTCTTAACTTCAAGTCCACAGACACTAAAGGGTCTGTGCATAAAGTCTAGGAGTCCATGAACTTGGATTAAGGGGCTAATAAAATCTTTATTTTTCACTAACCTCTAAATAAAATTTAGCACTTCCTTCAATTATGAATATAGGCCCTTTCACATCATATTACAGTCATTACAAAAATCTCAAAAAAATAGTTTTGTCCCTCATAACATCATGACTTTAAAATCATGAAAGTTCTGGACTTCCACCAAGATGGAGGCGTAGGTGGAAACACTTTGCTTCTTCGCACAACCAAATCTAAAAACAACAAAGTTTTAACAACAATAAATGCAACCAAACCACAGAAAATCGAACAATACAGAGTCTGAAAATAACGAACCCCTCAGCTAAACCGGTGACAGGGACGAAGCCAGCAGCAGAGTGGGTTGGGCAAAAACAATCCCCCGACCTGGGCAGAGTGCAAGCAGCCGAGGGCATGGATCCCAGGTACAGGGTAGCTACGAGGAGGCGCGGCACAGCTGGCTGTCTGAGGTCACGCATTTGCGCACAGATAAACCAGGGAAGAGACGTGCATTGAGAGAGACGGCAAAGGCTCCAGCGCAGGGCAGTGGGCTTGCAAAATTGCGCTCAGATAAACAGGCCAGGGCAAGTGGTGAGGCAGCCTGGGCGAGCAGAGAGGACTGCCATTGCTCCCTCTCTTACCCCGCCCCCACATACAGCGTCACAAACCAGCAACCTGGGTGGCCCCGCCCTGGTGAACAACTAAGGCACCGCTCCTCATACGTAACAGGAACAAACAGATCAAAACATGGCTCAAGAACAACTCAGAGCCCCAGAGCCGATAAATCTAAGTGATGAAAAAATAGCCAAACTTTCAGATGCACAGTTCAAAACACTGGTGATCAGGACGCTCACAGAACTGGTTGATTTTAGTCACAAATTAGAGGAACATATGAAGGCTAAACTAATTGAAATGAATGGAAATGCACAGGAAACCAATAGTAATGGAAAGGAAACTGGGACTCAAATCAAAGGAGTGGACCAGAAGGAGGAAAAAAAATGACCAAACAGAAAAGGATGAAGAAACAAGAATTCAAAAAAAGAAGGAGAGGCTTAGGAACCTTCAGGACATCTTTAAACCTTCCAACATCTGAATTATAGGGGTACCAGAAGGGGAAGAGGAACAGCCACCAGTGGAAAACTTATTTGAACAAATAATAAAGGAGAACTTCCCCAATCTGGCAAAGACAATAGACTTCCAGGAAATCCAGGAAGCTCAGAGAGTCCCAAAGAAGTTGGACCCAAGAAGGAACACACCAAGGCACATCATCATTACATTAGCCAAGATTAAAATGAAGGAGAGAATCCTAGAAGCAGCAAAAGATAAGGGGACAGTCACCTACAAAGGAGTTCCCATCAGACTGTCAGCTGATTTCTCAAAAGAGACCTTACAGGCAAGAAGGGGCTGGAAAGAAGTATTCCAAGTCATGAAATCCAAAGACCTACAACCAAGATTGATCTATCCAGCAAAGCTTTCATTTAAAATGGAAGGACAGATAAAGTGCTTCTCAGATAAGATCAAATTCAAGCAGTTCATCATCACCAAGCCCTTATTATATGAAATGTTAAAGGGACTTACCTAAGAAAAAGAAGATAAAAAAGATGAACAGTGAAAGGACGGCAAACTCACAGTTATTAACAACCACACCTAAAACAAAAGCAAACTAAGAGGACAGCTAGATCAGGAGCAGAACCATAGAAATGAGGATCACATGGAGGGTTAGCAACAGGGAGTGGGAGGAGGAGAAGGGGGGAGAAGGTACAGAAAATAAGTAGCATAGACAGTAGATAGAAAATAGATAGGGGGAGGGCAAGAATAGTAGGGGAAATATAGAATCTAAAGAACTTGAGACAAGTGTTCATGAACTAAAGGGGTGGGGGAGGGGTGTGCAGGGTGGAGGGGAATGAAGGGGGAAATAGAACAAATGTAATGGCATAATCAATAAAATAAAACATATATTAAAAAAATAAAACAAAAAAATCATGAAAGTTCTGAAAGTATTGCTTGATCTTGCTATGTAATGTGTTAATATTGAAGCACATATATTACATTATTACAAATTTTTAAAAAATAATACTTTGATAACTTTCTTGGTCTCCTTTGTAGGTACACATATTAAAATGTCATTCTCAGAAGGAGTCCACAGTTTCACCAAGATTCCCAGGGGTACATATCAAAAATAAGTTTAACAATCCCCACAATAAGCAGAAAACAAACAGATGCAGGGAAACAGAGAGAAGATGGAGAAACAAGCAATCAAGTAAGATGAAGGAAGTTTAAACCAAGATGATGGCATTGCTGGTGGAGAGAAGACCAATTTGAAAGATATTTAGGAGATAAAATTGACATTAGAAATGCTTTTCAAACATAATTTTCAAAGAATACTTTCTGTTATAAAAATGCTAATAATATAATGATAAGTGAAAAATGCAGTTTAACACTACCCATCTCCTCTGACACTGATTAAAATTCTACTGTGCACTGAAAAGACTGGGATGACATAAAAGCATTTTGATATATTGAACATGATTTTCAGTGGGTAATAAATAGTATTAAAAATGTTATTTCTCCTTAGAACTTTTCCAAATTTTTCTATATTTTATAAAATGACTATCAGAAAAAAGCCTAATTTTAGTTATTATTGAAAATTTTTAATGACAGTAAAATGTTTATAATCTGTATTAATGTGAAAAGTATATAAAACTGCGCATACAGTATAATCGCAACCATATGTATATCTTTAGGGAACTTATGGATGATTTCTTTATACTGTTAGATTTTCCATATTTACTAAAGCAAGCACATATTGTACTATAAATTATAATATATTTGAAGGGCACAAATGGATGGATTAGCTTTGGACAGAAGAAAGGGTTCTTTAAGATTTAACATGAAATGAACAAGGACTGAGATGGACAGAGTTTGTTGGTGGGGAAATAGGACAATGAGAGAGTTCACATATGAGGGACTCTAGTCAGCAAAGCAGAAGGCGAGGACATGTATAGTAAGCAAAAAGGGTGGGAAGGACTAGCAATACTGCATTCTGAGAGAAGGTTTGGAACAATCCTGTGGGGACACAGAGAACTGTCAGAAAGCACATGGCTCAACTAAAGTTCTTTTTTAAAAAATATTTTTAATTTATTTTTAGAGAGAGGGGAAGGGGGGGAGAGAAACATCAATGTGTGGTTGCCTCTCCCATGCCCCCCACTAGGGACCTGGCCCACAACCCAGGCATGTGCCCTAACTAGGAATCCAACCAGTGATCCTTTGGTTCACAGGCTGGTACTTAGTCCACTGAGCCACACAAGCCAGGGCTCAACTACGATTCTTTAGGGACAAAAAGGGAATGGTATTAATCAGTATTATTTTCAAATTTGTAAATCATTCATGGAGCTTCTTAAAAATGTCAGATTCCCCTCCCAGTGACCCAGGTAATCCAAATAGAGTCTAAGCAATCTACATTTTCAACAGGAGAGTGTTGTAGGTGAGCATTTCAGGTGAACTCCGACTACATTCTAGGAAATAGTAGTTCTGAGTCTCGCCTGAAAACAAAAGATAAATTTACAGATCTAGAAAATATTTTCAGGTTCTCTCTACTCCCATAATTTTAATTTATACAGGAATCTAGGTGTTAAGTTTTTGTTTGTTTGTTTTGTTTTACAATTTTAGGAGAAAAAGAATCAGCTTAGAAAGACAGGTGAGAAAAGAGTAGCAAAGGCAAGACACAAAATAGTAAAAAAAATATACTCTTATCTGTACTGCAGAACTCCAGGACAAACTACTTATCACCTTACCTTTAACAGAAGAGCAAAGTTACTCTTCAGAGAATTAGCCACACCATTTTCATACAGTTTTTTTCTCGTGAAGTTTTCACTCACATTCCCATCACCAGATTGATACCTTAATAATGACTTTAGCATGGTTTCAAAAGGGTCCGCTGAAAAATACAAATTAAACATTTTTAAGTCAAAGTAATCACTCAAAAAAAACCCACAAAAAAACAAAAAAAAACGCTCCAGCAAAAGGACATAGAGATCAGGGAAGTATGGAATTGTAACTGAAAGCAACTTTTTTTTACAACTCCCTTAAATGTCTTTCCTAAATACGAAAAGTTCAAGAGGCAATAAAAATTGGCAAAAGTACAATATCCTGACTGGGAATTTCACTATAAACAATTAATACTTGCATAAATTTTCTTCCTACATAACAATATAATTGACTTTCTAAAAATACCTCATCCACTGATTTTAAAGAAAAATCGATGACATATGTAATTGTCAAGTATTACAGTCAAAATCACTTAGCTAAGTTAAAAATTTTCTTTTCCCTTTTATTCATTATTTGAAGTGTTTTCTTAATGACTTTGTTTTCACACATACAAAAATACATTCTCGTGGTAAACAATTAAAGCACAGTAAAATACAATGAAGAAAGTAAAATACATCTAAATCTCACCACAGAGATTCTCACTGTTAAAAATTGTAGAGATTTTTTTAGAGCTGTTAACATTTCTTCACAGAGATAAACAGAAAAATCTGCCAGATTTCACAAAGAACTACAGTCCCTACTCTCAAAGCACTTGTCTCAGTTCATTAGCGTGATCATTTCAATGCTTTTTACATTCTTTTCCTACTCCCCAGCACTAAATTATAAACTCCACAGGAGCAGAGACCACACCTGGTCTTACTCAGCATTGTATTTCCTGACAGAGCCATCTTTCTGTCCTGGAAATTGAGCACCAATTCAGGCCAGACTGCCCAGCTTCCAGTCTCAGCTCCATCACTAATTAGTGGTATGACCTTGGGCAAATGACTTAACCTCTCAACCTCAATTTTGTCTTCTGTTAAATGGGAATAACCAACAATACGACTGCATAAAGTTGTTCTGAGGATTAAATGAGTTAATATTTATGAAGGTTTATAAAAACAGTGCTGGCACACAGCAATTGCTATACAAGTATTTGATAAATAAAATAAAATAAATATGTATCATTATATTAAGGCCTAAAAGTAGTATTACAAGTATTCTTTTATGCTTGATAAGTATAATCATGTAGATCGATAAGTATTTATTTGCTTCTTATTTATATTATAAATAATGCTAAATAGGTCTTATTTAATTATCAATTCATGCTAAATTCCTGAAGATTATTGCTGCTAAATCAAATATCACTGCCAACCTTGTCTCTAGAAAGTCTGTAAAACATTTATACTCCATGTTTCTCCATTCCCGCAGCAACAATGAGTTTTGTCAATATTTTTCATATCTTTGGTCAGATGGGGAAAACCTCGTTTTTATTTGCATAACACTGATCATTAGTGAGGTTGGAATATTTTCCTTTGCTTATTGGATGTAATATTTCTTCTTTCTTAATTACCTTGTTTTTACCCATTTTTCTACAGTTTAATTTTATTTTTTTCTTATTAGTTTTTATTTACTTTGTAAATACATATGTGGGAAATAGTTTTTCCATTTAAGCTTTTTCATAACTTTTTATTTTACAAGCATATAGTTATCAATTAATACACATGTATAGTAATGAGTAGCCAACATTTTCCCATTTTCCTCTTTTTCATCCTTTTTCAAGGCATTTCTATTGCACTAATGTTTTTCATTTTTATGTAGACAGATTTATCTGTCTTGTGCTTGATGGCCCCTGGATCTCATGTCCTGGTAAGAAAGGGTTTGTCAACACTCCCCTAAAAAATTTAATATCTATGTTTTCTTCTGTTACTTTTATGGTACTATATTTTAATTATTTGGAATTTTTTTTGATACAAAGAATAAGGCAGGGATTCAAATTTTTCCCAAATAGATAACCAGTTTTTTCAATCCCACTTATTAGCTTTCCCCTTTATCATAAAATGCTAGCTTTATCATTTATACTTGGTTTATCTACTGGACCATTTACTTGATTCCATTAGTCTATCTAGTCCTATCACAGTACCAGACTCTTTAAACTAATCTAGCTTTAAAATACACTGTCCTATCTGATGGTAGAGGTATTCCTCTCACTAATGTTCTTTTCTAGATGTTTCTTGGCTGCTCATGTATATTTACTCTTTCACATGTATTCTAAAATTATTTTTTCAGGTTCCCTCAAAAATTTACATTGGGATTTTTTAATGCACACACACACACACACACACACACACACACACACACACCCTATAGTAAGGGGGACTCCTAAAAAACCAGAATTATCTTTTGGAGGGTGGGCCCCTTGTAGTACAGGCTTCCCCTGCTAGGCAAGTGTTCTAGGAACCCATCTGTAAAAGTGCACCACCTGGCATTGTTGTCAGAGGATACACTTGGCTTCGGTGAATTTTTTTTGAAGACTCTTTCAACACTGCCCACTTCATAATGGGTGATGCAGGAGTGCACCTGCCCACATTGCATAGAGTGTTCAGCAGTTTTTGAGCAAAAACAGCGTAACCATGCCCCCCCACTTCACCCAATCTCATCCCCAGTGACCTTTTTTGGTAACCCCAGATAAAAATTTTTTGGTAACCCCAGATAAAAAAAGTCCTCAAAGGGAAACACTTTGCTGATGTGGAACAGGTGAAACGAAGTGGGCAGGAGACTAAAAGGCATCAAAATAGATGAGTTCAAAAACTGTTTTGAGCAGTGGAAAAAAACATCTCAATAGGTTATTGTATCAAACAAAGAATACTTTGAAGGTGACTGAAGTTTAAACATGTAAGAATAAATGCACAACTTTTTATAAATAAATTCTGGTTTTGTGGGAGTCCCCCCTCTTATATATGAAAAAATAATCATTTTACAATACTGTTTCCTAAACGAGGTACATAGTATAGAGCACTCAATAAATGTTGCTATTCCTATCCGAGAACAATAGTAGTTCTTTATAGACCTTTCTTCTTTAAAGATAAGGACCAGTTAATTAGAAAGAAAATTAAACTTACAGGTCTGATTGGGGTTGATATGCTGCTTCAGCACATCAACAGTGCCCAAACTAACCACGAGGCGCCTGCCAAACCAGAAGGAGACTACAGGCCCATGTCTCTCGTGCAAATGAACCAGGAATTCATGCAAACTTCCGCTGTTCACAATATCTGGAAGATTACCATCTCTGAGAAAAGAACATTTGACAAAATAATCAATTTACTTTGAATAATCAGAAGTGCAACAACTAATTACAAATTAACTGTGTAGAGACATGAGACCAAAGGTACATGAATTTCAATTACTGTAAAACCCAAAACTCAATCATATTTGACACTACAGATATATTTAGATATAGATTTATCTGATATTTTGAGAGTTCATAAAACTTCAAAACAAATAAGAAAGGTACACAAGAAACATCTGACTAAGACACTGGAAAACAACCCAATTTTTGCAGCATCTCATTCTGAGATAGCAATGAACATCACCACAGGCCGATAAAAAACATTAGATCATCTATGGCAATTTTTTTCTTTGTTCCTTCCATTCTAGTCCTGACTATTTTCAACTTTCTCTGGGTAGGGGAAATGAAACCAATTGAAGGTTTTGACTTACACAGCCTTCGTTTCTGTTGTTAATGAAGTTTATGTTGTATGCCAAGAGGCAAGTTAAGAGGAAATGAAGGAATTAAATAAGCTGATTAATCTAAAATTTAGTTTAGTTTCAATACCAAAAATTACCAAAATACCAAAAGAGTTGACTCTGTTTGATTCCAAAAAAATAATTACTCACTTTTCTTCAGTTGGAGTAATCCCCGGAATTCCTGCAGCTTGTCTGGAAGCCTTAAGGAACAATTTTAAAATAGTTTATTTAGTACAGTGAATTATCAACATCATGTAAGTGAGGTGTGTTTTGCCATGATATTGCAGAACCTTCAATGGTGGCTTCCCAATTAGGTTAAATCTCAGATATTATTTCTATTAAATACAAAAACTGGGTTCTTTGTAGTTAAAAGAATTATCTTAATATTTCTCCTCTGTGTCAATTAAACTAAGGTATTTGAAGAACTTAACATACGTTCTACATAAATACACAATCAAGCACAGTTTTCTTTGTTCAATGTCTATATATGGTCCCATCTGACTTGACTTAAAAAATAAATCAATGTCATGCTTATAATACTTTCATTCCTAAATAGTTCTCCTCTTTCTAGTCAAAGAAGTTACCAAAATACAACATGACATTCACCTTTTGCTTTAATAGTTATTATTGTCAGGGTCATACATCATGGAGGTGTCTGGTACAGAAATAAATAGCAAAATGATTCAAAGCAAAGTGTTCAAATGACAGACTTTAAGAAATGAACTGGGGAGAAGTTTGGGGAATTTCTGTAAGTTTGTAGCAGGTTTATGGTTTGAGGTCAGTATTATTTTCAATTAAGCATATAACTTATTTTGTTAGCTATTTTTTAAATTATATTTTATTGATTATGCTATTACAGTTATCTCAATTTTTCCTCCTTTGCCAACCTCCACCCACCACCCCTGACTCTTTTGGGCAATCCCCTCACCATTGTTTATGTCCATGGGTCATGCGTGTAAGTTCTTTGGCTACTCCATTTCCTGTGCTGTACTTTATATCCCCATGGCTATTCTGTAACTATCTGTTTGTACTTCCAAATCCCCTCACCTCTTCACTCACTCCCCACACCGACCTCCCAACTGGCAATCATCAAAATAATCTCCATATCCATGATTCTGTCTCTGTTCATGTTTGCTTAGTTTGTTTTTCAGATTCAATTTTTTATAGATATGTATTTATTGCCATTGTTCATAGTTTTGATGTTCTTTTTTAAAAATAAGTCCTTTTAACATTTCATACAATAATGGTTTGGGGGTGAACTCCTTTAGTTTTTTCTTATCTGGGAAGCTCTTTATCTGCTCAATTCTAAATGATAGCTTTGCTGGGTAGAGCAATCTTGGCTATAGGTCCCTGCTTTTCATGACTTGGAACATTTCTTGCCTGCAAGAAGTTTCTAGCCTGCAAAGAAGTTTCTAGCCTGCAAAGAAGTTTCTAGCCTACTAGAAGTTTCTTCCCTTCTAGCCTGCAACGTTTCTTTTGAGAAATCAGCTGACAGTCTTATAGGAACTCCTCTTTAGGTAACTATTTTTCTCTTGCTGCTTTTAATATTCTCTTTATCTTTAACCTTTGGCATTTTAATTAGCTGTGTCTTGGAGTGGGCCTCTTTGCGTCCATCTTGTTTGGGACTCTCCTGCTTCCTGGATTTGCACATCTGTTTCCTTCACCAAATTAGGGAAGTTTTCTTTCATTATTTTTTCAAATAGATTTCATATTTCTTGCTCCTTCTCTTCTCCTTCTGGCACCCCTACAATGCAAATGTTGGAATATTTAAAGTTGTCCTAGAGGTTCCTTACGTTATCCTCATTTTTTTTATTCTTTTTTTCTTCTTGTTCTGATTGGCTGCTATATGCTTGCTTATTTTCCAAATCATTGATTTGATCCTCAGCTTCATCTACTTTACTGTTGTTTCCTTATAAACTGTTATTTTAATTAGCATAATCTTCGTTTCTGACTGGATCTTTTTTATGCTGTTGAGGTCCTCACTAAGTTCCTTGAGCATCCTTATACACAGTGTTTTGAACTCTGTATCTGATAGATTGCTTATCTCCATTTTGTTTAGTTCTTTTTCTGGAGTTTTGATCTCATCTTTCATTTGAGCCATGTTTCTTTGTCTCCTCATTTTGGCAGCCTCCCTGTGTTTGTTTCTAGACTACCTGTCCTGGTAGCATGACCTAATCTAGTGGATGTCCTGTAGGGTCCAGTGGCACAGCCTCCCCATCACCCAAGCTCACTACTCAAGATGCACCCTTTGTGTGGGCTGAGCACACTCTCCTCTTGTAGTTGAGCCTTGATTACTTTTGGCAGGTCAATGGGAGGGACTTACTCAGGCCAATCAGCTGCAAGGACTGGTTGCGAACACTAATTACCAACCTCCACCCTCCATGGAGGTTCAGCTGTGCAGGGGCAGGGTGGTGGAGCTCCACTGTTGTCTGTAGCTGTCCACTGTGTGCACAGGTTCTGGGGTTTCCTGGGTGATGCAGGCCAAGATCAGCCCACACCTGTGTTCTGCCTGGGGCCACTCTGTTATGAGGTATAAAGCAATCTGAGATGGCTGCTACTTGTTCTGGGCTTGGAGATTCCCAAGCAAAGCCAAGCTGTGAATCTAGGCTGGCTGCTGCTAGTGCCAGGCCTGGGGCCACTTTGCTTTTGGGGGCATTTAGGAAGTTTTGAAGCTTGAGCCAAGGCCAGCCATTCACATGGAAAAGTCATGGTGAACAGGCGGGGTGGGCCTGTAAGTTGGGTGGGACAGAGTCTCAAGGGATCTCCAGGGTGAGGCATACATTGTTAGCCAGGTTGATGGAGTCTCAGATATTGCACCTGCCTGCTGGTTCTGTGGGAGGAGGGTTCAGAAAAAGGCACCTGCCTACTCTCTGTCTGTAAGAAAGCTGTCCCCCGGTTCCTTCCTTGATGCCAGAAACTTCAGTTCCTCCTGTATGCCACTGGTGCTTTCAAGCTGCTACCCTACTGCTGGAGCTCAGAGAGAGTGAGTCTGAGTAAGTCCACCTGTGGGTTCTTTAAGGGAAACTGCTCCGGACTGCAGAAGTTTCTTCCGCTGACTTAGTCCCCACTGGTTTTTGAAGCCTGGAGTATGGAGACTTATCTTCTTGGCACTGGAAACTTGGTCTGGGATGCTTGTTGTGGGAATGGGACTCCTTACTCCTGAGACATGCCTCCTGAATTTTTAACCACCACGTGTGGATGTGGGACTAGCCCTTTCAGAGTCTGCACCCCACCTACCAGCCTGGATGGATGTGGTTTCCTCAATTCTGTAGTTGTCAGACTTCCATTCAACTCAATTTCTGACCATTCTGAGTATAAGTCATTCTACATGTTTATGTCATTGTGCAAGGAGGTGAGCCGTGCTTACCTATGCCACTATCTTGACCAAAGTGCATACAACTTTTATATAAGACTCTCATAAAATAATTTTTAGCCCTGACCAGTGTGCTCAGTTGGTTGGGGGTCATTCAGCGAAGCTAAAGTAGCTGGTCTGATTCCCAGTCAGGGCACATGCCTGGGCTATGAGTCTGGTCCGTGGTTGGGGCATGTGCAGGAGGCAACTAGTTGAAGTTTCTCTCTCACATCTATGTTTCTCTCTCTCTCTCTCTTTTTCTCTCCCTTCCTCTTTTTCTAAAAATAAATAAATAAAATTTTGAACAAAATAATTTTTAAATAAACTAAACAGTTATAGAAAAAATAACCTAAAATATTCAATTCTGGAATCAATTCTGAATTTTGTCAATATTATTGACTAATACTAATCAGAGTGTATCTGATTAATATAACATTATATAAATAAAGGGCTCTTCTCCTGGCTAGTGTAGCTCAGTGGATTGAGCGCGGGTCTGCGGACCAAACAACCACGGTTCGATTCCCAGTCAGTGCACATGCCTGGGTTGCAGGCCAGTTCCCAGCAGGGGACGCATGAGAAGCAACCACACATTGGTATTTCTCTTTCTCTCTCCTTCCCTTCCCCTCTAAAGACAAATAAAGAAAATCTTTAAAAAAATAAACAGATCTTATTTATTTGAACATTTAAAGCCTAAACTATGTTCTAGCATGTTATGTTCTTTCTTTTGTTATTTTTCATTACTATAAATTGTGCTATAAAAAGCTTTGTATAACTTTTATTTTGTTCTCCTTTGGGGTATGTATGCCAAAAGAGAAATCTAGGTTTTACTGAAGAATTTTACAGTTTCTTCTAATTACTACAAAAATGCTATCTAGAATAGGACATGTAACTTGCATTTAACAGATAATAATGAAACCTACAATGCACACTTTAGTTCTACAGACTCATCAATAATGAATATTTTTCCAGTTTAATGCAATAAATAGTGGGGGAAAGAATGGAAGAAATCCCATAAAGTGAAAAAGATAAAGTCAGTGGCATAAAACATCCTGTTTTTATTTTCTAGGCTGAAATTATTAATGACTGAAAACACATTTCTTGATTTCTCTTGTTTTTAAAAGTGTTAAGCTGTTGGAGCAGTGATTAATTGACATAGTTTGAGGTCACATCTGGGGGGCAGAGGAGGATTCCTACAAGAAGCAACCTGAACGCATTCTTTCACCAGAAAAGCATGATAAGACACAGACTTTAACAATCAGTAAAAAGTCAGGCCCTGGCCTGGGTTGCTCAAAAGGTTATGGGCTCAATCCCGGCTCGGGCACATACCTGGGCTGCAGGTTTGATCCCTAGTTACGGTGCATGTGGGAGGCAAGCAGCTGATGTTTCTCTTTGTCTCTCAAATCAGTACACGTCCTTGGTAAGAACTAAAAGAAGGTCAAAGTCGGCGTACAGAAACCTTAGACACAAGCCTCGGTGTGCTTCTCCATTCCTGTGATTACCATCCTTCTGGAAGGAGACCTCCATTCCAGATTCAAGGATAACAGTCTGGGGAGGGGGAGGCCCTATAATTCTAAAGGAAGATTATTTCAAACCCAGAATTTATATCAAGCCTAATTATTATTGGAATATGAAGCTAGAACAAAAGATTATCAAACAATCAAGGTCTCATAAAATGTATTTTCCATGCATACTTTTTAAAAAAGATTTTATTTATTTATTTTTAGAGAGAGGGGAAGGGAAGGAGAAAGTTAGAGAAACATCAATGTGTGGTTGCCTCTCACGTGGCCCCCACTGGGAACCTGGCCTGCAACCCAGGCATGTGTTCTGACTGGGAATCAAACTGGTGAC